GACTCGAATAAAAAAATTCGCAATGATTGAGAATAAGCAACCATTTCTTTCGTAATACTTCGCGTAACCTGGAGTCGATCAATGTACAAATTTCTCCACGGACCACCTGACACACACACACACACTCTCGAGATTTGCAAAAAACTCGAAGGGTAAAATTTGACACGATTCCAATACTTTCCTTGTTATGTATACGTAACACCAAGGAAAGTAAATAGCGCATTTGAAAAATACCCTTGAAAAGGATAATTTCAAGGATATTTTTCAATATGATATAGTTCGGCCGAACTATCCGTTGGATATTGAAACACATTTAAGGTATCAAGAAAAACAAATATAAAGATTTGGAATTTCCAGATCCGTTAGACGAAAACGTCATAAATAACATTTTTAACACTAGAGAACTCTCCTTTTTGCTTCATCTCCTAGTCCAGGCATGGCCAACATACGGCCCGTCTAATGAATTTATGTGGCCCGCGATTAATCTTTCAATAATAGCTACTGAAGTCCGAATAGCTCGATAAAAAGATCAACAACTTACTGTGTGTTTAGAGTTAACCCTGCATTACAAATCTCTTAAGTACAACGTAGAATGTTGATAAAGCATGATAATGTGTAAAAAATGTATCTGTAATCTCTACGTAGTACAATTTAGTCTCTACGGGGTAACACCACAATGAGATCTCGCACCACCTCAAAATCTTCCTAGGGCAGCCTCTGGCTCGGTCTGTAAAAAAAGTTTTCGTTCCAATTCAGCCCGGGGGCAAAACCTGTTGGCCACTCCTGTACCGGCTGTACTGGTCCTTGTATCCCACGTATTCCCATCCAATCACAAATTTTATCAATCCATAACATCCTAGGTTTTCCACGTTGCTTTTTCCTCAGAGGTATTAAATATTACAGAACATCATAATGGGTAAACCATAATTAGTTAAACTGTAATAATTTATACCTGCTTCCTCTGATTTCATGTCCAAAATATATTTTACGAGATTTTATATAGATTAACTGTGAGTCTACTTTATGGAATTCTAACTTATTTGTAATACGGTTGGTCCAACTGATCTTTAGCATCTTTTGAATTCATTTTTCAAACGCTTCTAATTGTTTAATACAAATATACTTTATTACACATACATAGACTATTATTATTGTGAAAGGGTCATCACACACATGCTAAGTGTACGGTTTTAACATTTTGATTAATAGTTTATAATTTTAACGTTTTTTAAGTGTGAGTCTTGTAACAAATTCTTTAAGATAATTTTTGCCTTATATTTTATGAATGTTCACCTAGCTGAAGAGGGCCATTAACAGGAGCAGAAATGCATTTTAGGGATATATAAGTCATAAAATAGTTTTATGTGTGTGTAAAACTATTTTATTGTATTTTATATATAAATATAAATATTTTATGTATTTTAAAGTAAATTTGTAAATCAAGTATATTTATATTAAATATCTTTAAAAAAGGGATTAAAGGCTTATTGTTAATTAGCTTCTAATTGTTTTATCATTTTAGCCTTCAGGGTCCGTGCTTCTACCCCATATAATAAAACTGTCCAAACAAAACATTTCAAAGTTTTTTGCCTTATTTTTAAACCAAGGTTATTATCACAAAGAAGACCTTTCATTTTTGTAAACGTCTTCCTTGTCATTTCGATGCGTATTTTAATTTCTTTGTTTGAATCTAAGTCTTCTCTTATTATCGTTCCTAGGTTTTTGTATGCATCCACCTTTTCAAGTTCTAGCCCATCAATTAGTACTTGGGTGTTGTTATTTAATCCCCTGCTGATTATCATGTATTTTGTTTCTCCAATATTAATTTTGATGCCAAACTCCTGTAAGTCTTCTAGTGTTTGTCGTAAGTACCGTATCAACATATTTTATGTTGTTTATTATAACTCCATTAATTTTAATGCTTTTTTGAAAATATGGTCTGAATATACATTGAAGAGGTAATAAAATGCACCCTTGTCGTATTCCTCGTTTTATCTCTGCTTCGTTCAGTGATGTCTCATAATTTACAATTTCAGCCGTTTGGTTCCAGTAAAGGTTTTTTTTACTATATGCAAACCTTGTTTTTGAAGTAGCTGTAGTAATTTTGTATGATTAACTCTATCAAAAGCTTTTTTAAAATCAACGAAACAGAAATATGTATCCTGTTGGTAGATATAGTTCTTTTGTAGAAGAATGTTCGTACAACATATTGCTTCTCTGGTTCCTAGATTTTTGCAAAATCCAAACAGAGTCCTGTCTAGATTTTAATTTAATCATTGATAATCTTTCATTAAATTAGTATTGCCAAATGATTAAAAATTTAATTTATTATGTCTTTATAAATAGTATTCAAATGAAATACTGTTAGTCTAATACTAAATAGTGCTTAAATAATATTATATTATTTTAAAGTTCGTACGATTATAACCCAATACAATATAATCATAGTTATAATCTCATGCTTTTTAAGCTTTGCTGCTTAACTAGATCGGTGGAGTGATACATTTTTAAGATCTGGCACGTATGCCCTATTCATATTCTGGGAAATACATAGCTACTGTATAACAATCATATAGCCCACATTAATTAATTAAAGAAATTAAGACTCAACAAAGGTGATATAAACAAAAATTACAATTGTTACCAGTAACAATAATCTCTTACTGATAACTATCACAAATTACAAATAGAATCATATTGTTTTATTTTATGATTAAGTTATCTCGATTTTTCTGAAAAACTACTTAAGAAAATTTATCACTTGTCCAAAAATAATACTTTTGAAAAAAAAACCAAAGATAAAATATTTTGTAAAACATATTTTATTCGATTTTGTTTTAGGCTGATCTGACAAGTTAATGTGTTGAAAATTCCTGTTGACGTCTAACAAATTTCATTAAAAATATAAATTTTGAACATTGAAATAATTACAAAACGATTTTTATAATAACAATTTTAGAATAAACATGTCGAAAATACTGTTTCGTACTTTTCTTTATCTTTGATATGAATGATTAACTTTTAACTACTGTATATCTTTTTCACTTGTCAGATTCATTACAGTCAGCAGCTGCTTTCTAATCATTGTTTGTTAATATTATTATAACTTCCATTATTATTATTATTATTTAATCAAAATTAATATATATCAATATATATTAACAATAGTTAAAGAATAGTAAATCGAGAAATAATGTTCGATTACTAATCAGCAGTAACTCGTAGTATTAGCATGAGATACTCGTGCTTAGACTATGCTAATCAATCAGAGCTTGAATTTAGTTAATACAATTGCAACTTTATAAAAGTTATAAAATTACTTCCTAACAACTATAAAATTTTAAAATTGATATATAAAATTTAGTACTATTTCTTTATAAAATTTCCTACCGGTGGTCAAATGGATTAAACCGCTGAAAACTGTGGTTGGTCGTGTGTTTGCGCCCGACCAACGGACTAGCCGCGTAAAGTTTATGAGTTTTCTTTACGTGTTAGCACTTAATAGAATTAGACTCCTAATATAAAGGGAAAGGTGCGTTCTTCCCGTGAGGCATATCTCTCTTTTGGTAGATCGCCCATGTGTTGCGTTGTCTTCGATTCAATCCTTATAAAAATTAAAATTTAGTGATAAAATACTCTCCAAAATATTTTCTTCAGTTCTGCTTCAATACATCTGTTTTGTTTTATTTATTATCTAATGAAAAGTAGCAAAATACCCGTTTCTTTGAAAGTTTACTTTATTGCATGATTTAAAATAATCATCTAACGATTATCTGTGTGTAAATTATGATATAGAAACTTTTTATATCAAATTTATTTTATTTCTGAATGCAAAAATACGCATTGATAATGCTTCTAATGATATTTAAGTGTATGGATGGCATGATGTACATCACTTGAAAACCTTTATTGCGATTGAGATGTTTGAAAATTTTTCATAAAAGAAATATGATTAATCAAATATTTTAAAGTCAATTGAATTTAAAATGAAACAATAGTTACAACCAGTGCCGTAACTAGGCAGGTGCAACAGGTGCATTCGCACAGGGCCCATTTGGAAGAGGGTCCCAAAATGCACGTGTTTGTTTTATTATTTTCCCAAACCTAATTAATTAAGGGGCCTAAATGCAAGTTCTTGCACAGGGCACAGGAATGGCTAGTTACGGCACTGGTTACAATTGTTTTTTTCGTTCTGATTTAATTTATGAAAGATAATTCGTAACACCGATAATAGGAAAACATTACCAAATTATCGAGAAACATCTATTAACCAGAAAGTTAATAAAAGAAGAAAATGTTTTATCAGTTATATTCATATATATATTGGACGTAAAAATTAGAAAAAACTTTAATAACAATATTCCGTTTTTAGTTGTGTTCTCGGAGTTTCGTACAGTACAGTACAGTACCTATTAATCAGTCAATTAATTCTGGTGAAACTTTAATTAAATTATTTACAAAATATTGAAAACTTTACTGCGAAATAATTTATAGTCACAACTGAATCAATGTCAGATATTCTCTTAAATTGCTAGTATGTTAATTAACTAGTATTGTTAACCATGCAGAAAATTTATCCGATTGATAATTAAGTTAGATAATTTATATAATTAAAACTATAAACAAATTTATAATAATTATATTAATACGAGAAACAGACTCACATGTTAATAATGCTAGTCTTGTATTAAAGTTCATTTTAACAATTATCTGTTTCCTTTAATTGTCCTTATTAAATTCTTTACCAAAGTAGATTAATTCACATTATTCGAATTATCGAAACAGTTCCACCCCTGTTAACTGAATGATATCATTTTATCATTAATAGAGTATTCACGATACATCAATGATGTTTAACTTGGCTGATAGATAACTTCTATCGCTATTCAAATTGAACAATGTGATTAAAATGCTATCTATCGTCAAAAGAAAGCATTAATTTTATTATAAGAATTATATAATAATTTATCTATTTGAATATATTAAACGAAAAATTTCAATGAAAGTTGATAGAGATAATTTATTGAAAAGTATTCGACTTAATACAGAATGACTAAATTTTTTCATGCAGATACAAGTAATGATTAAAATACTTTTTAAATTTTACGCTTTATGATGGAATTTTTTGAGATTTTTAGTACTTTTTGCTTATTTAAAGGTTCCTCTAGCAATAAATTTATAGCGATCTTCCATACATAACGTATGTATATATAGAAGATCGCTGTAGTTTCCAATAATATATAAATATTATAATTTCCAGTAATATATAATATATACATATTATTGGAAATTCAATAATAAATATGTATGGAAGATTGCTATAAATTATGGGTTTCCATTACAGAAATCCATTACAGAAGCAAGCATCATGGTGAAATCTATTTGATATGTTACCTCTCACCATAATAACATTTGAAACTTCGTATTATATTGTTATCATCAACATCGTACCTAATAAAATTTTATTAATTAAATTATGAATCAATGATATATTTAAAATATAGTAATTATATTACATATAGTATTCACGTAATTACATAAAATTTCATTATAAATTTGCTCTTCTTAATTTCAACAAAAAATATATAAGTTGATACATATTGGAATTTAACATTTCAATCTGCAAATCCTTCGTTGCTTATTCCTCTCTGAAACAAAATAAGCTTTATCAGTAAAACGCCATAGTTTCTGATTTTTCAACTCACCTAAATTACCATTTGAATAATTTGAGCAGACTTTTTCTCCAATTTCTTCTTTGCCCTACAAAATTTAATGTTTTAATTCATCATTGAGTAACTTTAAATGAAAATTATTAAGTGTAGCAATAAATAAGAGATAGACCATTTGTTTTTATTAGCGTAAAGTACGCTGCAAATAACTTAGAGATGCAAAAATTTGAGTTTATCTCATTTTAAGCTTTAGATCATATATTTAGTGTAATTTTAATGTTTAATTTACTAATTTATTTTAAATCGTTATTCAAAATTCACTTGAAAGTAGAAAATTATTATGAAGTTACCTCGTACATAACACATAGGCAATGATAAATGTCAATACCAGAGCACCACTGAGAGTTGATACGCTTATAATTAAATTATTTTTCAAACCTATATAAAAATTTTAAAATATATATATATATATGTTAATTTATTATATTTAGAATTTGTATTTTTATATTCAAAACATGAAAAATAAATACGTTTAAAATTTGTATCTTCCTCGTCGCATAAAATTCCTGTATATCCGGCATCACATCTGTAAACATGTAATTTGTTATTATATTAATTTGTGATAAATATTCATAAGAAAAGAGAATATAACCGATTATGTTCTCCATTTTACTTTTAAAATTTATAACTTACTTGCATTTAAATTCACCGGGTATTTTTATACATTTCCCGTGTTCACAAGGATTAGGATCACATACAGCTGAAATATATTATATAATCAATANGAAATTATTTTAAAATATATATATATATATGTTAATTTATTATATTTAGAATTTGTATTTTTATATTCAAAACATGAAAAATAAATACGTTTAAAATTTGTATCTTCCTCGTCGCATAAAATTCCTGTATATCCGGCATCACATCTGTAAACATGTAATTTGTTATTATATTAATTTGTGATAAATATTCATAAGAAAAGAGAATATAACCGATTATGTTCTCCATTTTACTTTTAAAATTTATAACTTACTTGCATTTAAATTCACCGGGTATTTTTATACATTTCCCGTGTTCACAAGGATTAGGATCACATACAGCTGAAATATATTATATAAAAAATATTATTTGAAAATAAATACAGCATTTTATAGGAAATACAAAAAGTTTGCTTACGAATACATTCTTCTTGCACATGTTCATGCTGAAGTTTTATTCTATATCCTTCTATACATTGGCATTGGTAACTTCCTATAGTATTTATACAATTACTGTTTTTTGGGCATGGATTTCTATTGCTGCATTCGTCTATATCTTTAGATTAAAATTTTAAAATTATAAACACGTATATATTATAATATAAAATAAATAAATATTAATCATTACATAAATATATTATAGGTGTACTGTACAGTCGATCCTTTAATAATGGTTGCTTTCAAACAACGGCCATTTTTATGTTATGTGGCCGTTTTTCGGATGTTTAACTGTATACATACTGTATTTTATATTATTTATAGAATATTTCGAACTAAAAGAATAAATATCACAAAACAGCAATTCTCTGATTATTCAAAAGATTTCAATATTCTTCTATGTTTTTCGGAATATATAAAATTTAAACAGTTAAAAATACCTATTAATTTGAATTAATAATAAATAATTTTTAATTTGATAAATAACCAAAACATATATCAGTAATTCTATTCGTGACTACCGAATTTCGCAATGACAAAAGTATGATTAATTTATTAAATAGATGTTTTGATTGAATTTGATAAATTCTACATATTCGTGTAATTTACGATATTTTATATTCCTATTAATTTATGGAACCAATAATTTCTTATATAGATGAATAGAATTTGTGCGAAATTTTTCATAAATATCAAAAATAAGTTTTTAATTGTCGAATTTAAAGTGAAACTTTTGAACACAATTAGGTGCTTCCAGTCAACAAAATCAATCAATTAATTAATTGTTAAATATAGGGGAGATCGGGGCAAGATCGGCATGTTAAGCTTTACTTAAATT